ATTGCTTTATATCTTTATATTACTGTTGTATAATAATTTTTATAAGAACCGCTGTATTGTATATATTTTAATATTGTTTCTTTTATAAAGGAAAGTGCTTTAAGAAAAAGATATAATAAACAAAAAAATCATAGACCAATATAAATCAATAATCCCAGTCAGTAACCCCAAAGCACTATGAATGTTACTTTTCTTCAATTCTCCGGTGTTTGCCCTTCGATCACTCCACTTCCGGAATTTGTCCCTTCAATTCTAGCTGGCAACCATAACGTAAATTAGACCAACTAGTCGGTCGATCGCGCCAAAAGTTCCGCGCCGCCGAGAGGAAATTGTCGGATTCAGCCGGAAATTGCGAAATTTTCCGATAGCAGCGATCTCCAGACTCGGTCGCGGTCGTTTCTTGTGCGATGTTCCTACCTTGCCTTTTCTACGACGTACGCATCGTATGCTATCCCTCGTTTTGTAGAGAGGATTTCATCTCGCGATTACGTTTCGCTCCTGGAACGATTTAATGAAGACTCCGTTGATACCTTTCATAGAAGTATCGAATCTTCAAAAACCTTCAAAGACCAGTCTCCGATCCCTTATCAGCGCCCGACGGATGCACCAGCGAAATCATGGCGGACAGGATTGGAAAATCCTCTTCGCGGAGATAAGTCGAAAAGGAAGGAGAACTTTCTCGAGTCGCGTTTGCTCGCACATGACGCGGTATATAAGGCATACAGCTCGTTTTTGATAAGTATGCCGAGGTCAAGATATTTTTATAATGCATTCGAAGGCAAGGATTTGAGTTGGGAATTTTTTTTATGCTTTCTAGTTATTAATGAAAAATTTGCAACACCATTCTGATAAATAAATTAATATTTCAATATTTTCGAATGAATACGTAATTTGTTGCAAAAATTCAAAAAGTCGCACGCGGGTAATTATTCAATATGATTTTTTTTTTAATAATAGTTAATGTATTCAGAATTAATTTACTTAGACAAATACAAAACAGTAAAACTGTTAAATTTAAATTTGATTTAATGTTTATTGTCTTCTTCGCGATAGCTAATGCAATTGTTTATTCCTCTAAAGAAGTTAAACGTTGCTATTACTGCAAACAAAAGATATGTTCATATATATATAAATGAAATCATAAATTAAACAAATCGTCTGCATACTTTTTTTATTAGATATTTTGAGATCGTTGAATCT